TGTAGTATCTCACACTGGTCTTGCCTCATGGGAAAAAGATATTGTTGGCGACCACCCTCTACGGCGGATGTGTGCGAATGCATGCCGCAATAGAGGATGGTGCGGTCGATTTCGACTTTACAGTCTAATACTTTCGCTTCGTTATATTCCGTCAATTGTAATAACTGTATTCTTTTCTCCTCGGTGTGGGTGTTTTCAGGAGCGATTCCGCAGTTGGGTTCATCCAGAGTTGAGAAAACGCTGACATTCAGAGTTTGGCCGCCGCAGTCAAATCCCAGGAGGGCTTCCGTAGTGTGGAGGATGATGCCGACGAAGATGATGAGCGGGGTCCTGATTGTGCGTGCGGGGTGGGGTCGGGGGTTTGCGCGGGCGAAAGATTGTCGCTTCTTTCGTCGTTACTACTTTCGTTGTTTCTACCTTCCCCGGGAGGAGATTTCGCTAACTTAATTTTGTTCGTATGGACGACACGAGTCGAATTCTTATATGTTATCTTAACGTTATGATTAGGGAATACAGTAATGATTCTATGTGGTCCCGTGTATTGTGGTCCTAATTTATATTTTTGAGGTTCCTTCAATAGGTAGACCAGGTCTCCCTGGGTAAACGACTGCGGGTTTGCTTTCCTATCGTAATAATTTTTAGACTTTACTTTCGCTGATTTTAAGTTATTCCTTGCGGTTTCCTGGGCAAATGCTATACGGGTTTGCAGGGCCCGGAGATACTCGTTGTAGGTTTCGTCAGAGGTGAGTATTGGTGGGTTATCCGTGGCCGGCGCGCGGGCTAATTTACCAAAGACTAGTTCGTACGGTGTGAAATGTGTTCCCTCATGCACACTGGTATTGTATGATAGCATGGCTATATCCAGCCATATGTCCCAATCGTTCTGGGAGACAAAGTGTCGCAAGTAGTCTATGAGGACCTGGTGTGAACGTTCCACCGAACCATTTGATTGTGGGTGGAACGCGGTCGTTACGAATTGACTGATTCTAAATTTTCTGGCTATGTGTTTTACGAGGGAGTTTACGAAATTTGACCCTTGGTCCGTTAATATTGCCTTCGGGGCGCCAAACGTGCAAATGAATTTATTTATCAAAGCATCCGCGGTCTCGACTGCGTTCGCGCTTTCAAGTGGGACGGCCAGGGAATATTTGGTTAGCAGATCCTGCATCGTGAGGATGTATCTATAATTTTTCCTTGTCGGTGGGAGCGGTCCCACAACGTCGAGGGAGACTTTATCAAAGGCCTGGCCGGGCGTATCCGTTAATATCATTGGTTGGCGAGTTTTCCGTCTAGTCAGTTTTTGGGTCTGACAACTGGGACAGGCGATAACGTGGTTTGTTACGTCCTTCCGGAGAGAGGGCCAGAAGTATCGTTCCCTGATTCGTCTGTATGTCTTTGTGATCCCCTTGTGTTGGGACACATGGTTCTCGACAATTATGTCATTTCGGATAGAAGTAGGAGGAATCTGTACCTCGTGGGTACAGAGGGTAATCGTGGCGGACGTGGGTGCAAATAGCTCCAGAAGGTGCTCCTGGATCTGCTGATGTGGAATGTGGTCTAGGGAGGTTTTAGAGATGGACAATGTTTTAAGGGATAATTCAGTGACCACGTCATAGAGGCTGCGGAGCGCCTCTAGTTCGTCGTGCGGATCGGTGGAGTGGGCTAGGGTGGGCTTAACCGGGAGAAGGATTTGAACGAATCTTCCGGTCTTATTCACTCTTGCTCTGCCTATTATCAGGTCATCGGGGATTCTAAGATTGCCGTGTTTTTGCAAGTCGATTGTGCCAG